TTACCCGGTCTAACTTTTTTTTCTCCTTCGGCCCAACTTCGTTCGTTGATGCTCAGAAAATAAAAAATCAAACGCAAGGAAAGAACGTACCAAAAAGGAAAAACGCGCCAAACCTTTTGACTTGGATTTGTGTGCATTTAGAAGGAAAAATAAAATAAAACCAAAACATCATTCCTCACCCAGAAATTAAAAGATATTACAAATTAGTTGAAAATTTTGATTAAGTTGAAAATCTAATCTTATGAAATTAAATTGAAATTTTTTTCAGCACATTTCACATATGAGATAAAAATTCGGAAAATTTAACTTAAAACATCTTAGAAGCTAAATAAAATATCCTAGAAGCTTGAATCATTTTCAATTGAATATTTTTTACATATACAATCTTTAAGTTAATCTCTAACTTAGATCTCATAATTTTTAGTTGACAAAAGCATATCATTTGTGATACAAGAAAAAAGTATCATTAGTACTTTCAGTTTATATAATATTTTATTTTAATCATTTAATTTTATAAAGTATTTTTTTAATTCCCTAACTTTAACACTAAAAAGTTTCATTAACAAAAAGATGCTAACATTAAAAACTTTAAAAATTCATAAGACATTTAAAATATCGGTTGACACAAAAACTTATCATTTAAGACTATAATAAGATTAGAGGAATAAAATAATACTCTATAAAATTAAGGGATCAAATTAAAAAATTTTATAAAGTTAGGGAACTAAACAGGTATTTTGCCTTTTTGGTTTAATTTGCAAAATTTTGTTCTTACTTTTCAAGATTTTAAACCTATTTCCACCAATTAGTCTTTTCTTATAGTCAATAAAGATCAATTTTTTTTTAATAAGTATACGTATCCTAATGGAAGAAATTATATTTGAGACACTATCGGATATTAAATATACATACTTTTTAATAAAAATTCAAATTTATCACGTTATGAAAAATCAACTCTGCTATTGACGTGTTAAAAGTTTCAATGTTTGAATGTGATTTTTTATAATATAATGTTTTGTCTAAAATACTATTTTTTCTACATAATATTCTTAACCAAGTATAAATTTTTTTATTTAGTTAATCAAACACATCTGAAGATAATTTTAATATTTTGCAAAAATAATAATTAATTTTAACTAATTTTCTTAACTTATGTAAAGTAATTAATTAAAGTTTATAAAAGGAAAATATTTAATTAAAATTTTTAACGGAGTTATGCATTGAACAAAGTGCGCAGTTGTAATTAAGCAAATTCTTTTGATTAATAATATTTGTTGAAGATAAATTAATGTTTAAAAAATAACTAATTTTAATTATTTTCTAACTTACTCAACGTAATTAATTAAAAAACATTACATTTCAGGTTAATGGTTATCTTTATCTTGAATGTTTTAACGGATCAACTGAGTATCCAAAAGTTTTTTCTACCTCAGTATTGTTGAAAAAAAAGTAGTGTCACCCTCCTTCAATAATAGCCCATATTATGGATGTCTACCATATCGGATCTTATACCATATAGCTATAATTATGCTTTTTTTTTTGTCATTTTTGTCTCAAAAGTTTTCTTGAAATGCTTGGTCAAAAAAAAAAAAAAGTTTTCTTGAAATGGCAATGATACCCTATAAATATTAACACAGGAGCAATATTGCCAAATTTAATGGCAAAACAAAAACAAAAACCATATTTCATGTGCTTTTTTTCATTTTCTTATTAACTTTGGATGATGTTGCATTTTTTTTTTTAACACCTTAGAAGCGATATTGGGCTCAAAATTTTTTTCAAATATGCATTACTTCTTTACAAAAACTTCAAAGGCGAAAGTGATCAAAGAAAACATGATTATGCCCACCTGAAATCACATGTAACAAACGTCCGTTTTAATGCCTAACATAGGGTGACATTATTCCTTTTTTTTTTTAACACTTTTAATATGATATTGAATAAAAAAAATTGCCCAGTTTAATTTATGCTTAGTAATCTCAGTGACAATAAGGACACCCTCAGGTGTAGGAGCAAAATTAGATGCAGCATCACAAAAAATAAAATGAAATGTCAAGAGGCACAACCCAGAGTCAGCGATCAAATGCCTTATAGGGGACCAAACAACAATATCACCATACTAGGACCAATGTCTATTAGTAAAATAACATCCGCACAACAATATAGGAGTCAAAACAGAAGATGAAAGTATCTAATAAAAATAGAAGAAACGGTAGCTACGCCAAGAGCTCAACAATAAAACAAAATAATACGAATATAGGGACTGAAAGCCAAAGCCACTTTATTATCATGCTACAACTTTGTTGGTAACAAAGTTTCGATACTGACCCCCTTCAACAACTGATATATCCATACTATCTCGAATATAGATTGTACCATGACTCTGTATTCTGTTTCTACACTAGATCAAGACATCGTATTTTGTTTTTTTGCTTCTCGAGAATACCAAATTTCTACCAACAAAGACTTGTCCTCTGATGGGTTGTCTAGTAGCTTTTTTTTTTTTTTGGTAAGCGTCTAGTAGCTCTAAATATCACGAAACCATTCAATAATGAACTAAAAAAAAATTCATAGGTACCCACAACGCATTCGGGAAAACTTCCAAAATAAGAATCATCCTCACCCCTTTATTTCCTGATGAAACCACGTGTTGGGCGGAGTGCGCATTTGAGTGGATGGTGGAGGATGCGACAAGGGACGCCCACGCTCCGCATGGCGTGTGTTTGACGGGAAAAGCCGATTAAGAATTTGGCAGGTCCCCCGCCACGCCACCCAACTAAAAGTCTAAAACTAACATCAGCAAGGTACCATTACTTTAAGGATTGGCCCAATAAAAAAAATACAGATTTTGCTTTTGAAAAATAGCAACACATCGATTGTTCATTGGCAAGATAAAATTAAGAAAATATTGTTAAGTAATAATATGATAAAAATATAACTGCTTGTAATTTTTTATGGTAAAGATATATTAAATGCTGTATGCTTTTTCATATAAAAGAACCTTACTTAAAGGGTAAGAAAAGGGGATCTAAATTTCATATGAGGAAGTCGTTGAGAAATGCCTTGAACTTCGCATGCACCCAATCAAGATGATGTGGGGTTAGTTATAAGGGCGTTGTATCATGTGCTAAAGCATTGATGAATCTAAAGAGTAATATTGAAAAAATAGGCTGACCTGTCAGGGGCTCGGGCCTAAACAGACTGGTTCGTTTAAGCCTGAGTTTCAGAAATAGACAATTTTCTCAGGTCTAGCCCTTGAGATGATGCGCTTAGAATCCACCCATGGGCTTTTAACCCGTTTAACTAAAATGTAATTTTTTAATTTTGTGTGTGCATATTTTATTGAAATAATAAAAATGAAACAATAACATTATTAATAAAAGGTATAAATATAAATAAAATTAAGTTACAAACATAAATATCATCATATCTAAACATTTATCAGAGTACAATAGAGTCTATTAAATAAACAAACTAAATGGAGACATAAACAACTAAATAAGCACTAACTTCAGTAAATAGTTACAATATCAATGATTTGGTTTAATTATAAATAATGAACAAAAAAGTTTAATTAACAAACATAGTATATATAAAGAATAATCATTTGCCCTGTGAGCCAAAAAAAAAAAAAGAAGTCCATCATCTCTAGTTCTAAATTCATTTCTAACTATAAAAATGATATAGATATTTATTTTAATTCAAAAGATTTTTTAATAAATTCTATTTCAAGCATAAAAATATGGGAGAATGACAAATGAAAATCATAAAAATTACACATACAGTATTTTAACAAATTTTGACAACTTATAAATAACAATACATTTTTGTAAATATACCTAATTTTAAATTTTGTGATTTCCACTTTTTGTTGTTATTTTCCAACAAGTATAGTTATTATTATTATTTTTTTTTGTGAATGCTGTTTGTATGAGCGGCTAGGGGTGAGTGAAACTTATAGTATGTTATGTATAAAATGTTAAGTTTTTTTTTTTTAAGTTAAGAAAAAAATATAAAAAATTTTTAAAAAATTGTTAAGGGGTTTAAACGGGCCAGCCTGTTTATTTTTTAACCTTACAAGATTGATCCTTTTAAATCCAACTTCTCTTTCAAGATTCCAAAATACAAGCTTAGCCCTCAACTTAAATAAGTTGGCTCGATGGGCTCGGCCCATTTTTCCTAGTCTACTAAAGAGAACGGTGTTGTTTTACTATTTTGTACTACCTCCTATAATACTAAATATAATATATAGTTAGCTAATTCAGATGGATTAAAAAAATTTATTAATTTACTTATTTATAACAAATATGTATTATCTTCTCTAAAATACCCTTACTAATCATATGTATTATCTAGAACTATCATTTGATGAAATATTTAATATGCATAACTATTACAAAGACTACTTTAAAAAAAATGAATAAACATGAGAGACAATAAATTATAATCTTATACTACCTCTGGTCCTTAATATAAGACCTTGTTTGATTTTTATTTTGGTCCTAAATATAAGATCCCAATCCACTTTGCCTCTCATATTTTTGCATTCTTTCTCAAAGTAATTCTTCTAACAATGATAATTTTAACCAATACACTTGATTAATAAATATATTTTAAAAAAGACAATAACTATTTGATACGAGTAACTAACTAAATTTTTTTTTTTAATCTCCTCAAATTAGTCAACTAACTCTTATAATTAAGACCGGAAGTAATATTTAAAATCAAATTGAAAACCAAACTCTCTGTTATATTAAGGATGGGAGGTAACACTTGATAGAGCATTCAGCATTAGGTTAGGCTCAGCTGTCTACCCAGCTTCTTATTAGTTGACATTATCAACTTCCAAAGGCCACACCGAAGTGCGTGCATCCAACGCCAGCATGTTGTGTCCATCGCAATGATACCGAGATTCAGATCGTCGTAGGTCATAAGAGGGTAAAATGCACTTAATATTAGTTAGACCCCTATCAGCATAATCCCAGTCCCTTTGGATCGTCTTCTAGCCGAAACATTATCTTCTTATTGATTTTGGTAATAAACTCATCATTACAATGTCCGAGTAATCTAGAATTATCTTAAAGCTTAAAAAATTAGAAAAACGTCACAGAAGAGCAAAATGGGAGCGAGTAAGCTTATAAAGTAAACTAAAATGTTACAAGTGATCAAATTCAATTTCTCAGCCTCCAACCTCAAGAAAGACATATAATCATCAGCTTGAACGGTATATCTATCACGCTTCTCAGCTGCAGACATGTCTTCTGAGTATTCCGACTTCCCAGCCTCGCCTCAGGGGCCACAATGCCTAGCTGCCATAAGATTTCTCAACTTATACATACTTGGGAAGCAATAATCAAACGTATCGCACCATTTTAATGTCTGTCTATTCCTCCAAAGCTTAGATGTAATATTGCAGAGTCCGACTTATGTACAAAATAGGCATCAAATAGCTTGAAGAAAGTTCTTCAGCGAGAATCACTATAGTAATGATCATTGCCCTGAAAGCTTCTTCTTGTAGTAAGAGGCTCTTCTGTCAAAACGAAGCACAGGAGGTTGGAGAAAATGCAAAGTTAAAACAAAATCAAATCAAAAGGCAAACATCAAGATCATACATAAAATATAGCATAAAAGATAGCCGCCTATATCTGGACAGGCAAGAGAAGGGCATAAACACCTTTATATCAAAATCAATGGTTAACATTAATGCCAAAATCTTCGTAAATGTGTAAAATACCTTCATTTTTTCAAACATCAGCATGCAATAGCATAACCATAATTTTCTTATCCAACAATGACCAATTTCTCCTCCCACAATACCACCTCTCCACAAAGCATTCCAACCACTACACACACAGACTCCCACCCACCCACGTATATAATCAATATTCCACAAAAATTGCAAGCTAATGATGGACAAGAAATTATGTCCTGACAATACTCAAATCAGATTTGATAATATTGGAAACCAAATAACTGTATAAACTAGAAAGAAATTATGCATGGATGACAAACCCACACCCTCAATGCCAAAAAAAAAAAAAAAAATCCTCCTCTCTCTCTTTTTGCATGTGCACCCTGGATCATAGGTCCAGCTCGCTTTCAACTAGAGGACTTTTATCAGGGTCAGGATTAATCTGAATCAAGCCAGGCAGCACCCTATCGGGCAGCAAGCTTTACCAATATTTAATGCGGTTGCCACTACACAAACTCAAAAGTCAAAACCTTTTGTTAAGCTAGTACAACCCCTTGCCAAGCATTCAGTGTTCCTCCCCTCCTTTATATGGCCAAGGCAGCCATCAATATTTCAATTTTCTTGAATCTCAAGATGAGTGAACCTCCTAGTCCCATGAATATGCATAAAATTTTTAATGAAAAATCATTAAATTTAAAACTGTGACGAGTGTTTTTATCTTAATTGAAGAAAAATATAAATAAACATGATAAATAAATAAATAAATCCAAAGTCCACAAATCCAGAAAATGAGTATTAGAGGGACCTTTAGATTTGGTGAACAAGTAGAAAGTGCAAATCAAGTTACAAGCGAATTTGACACATTTAAATCAAATTTAATACTGCTAAACTTACCTTCATCATCTTCATCTCCATTTTGACTTGTAAAGAATGGGGTGAGGTAATTTTTATCTAAAGCTGTAAAAGACGCAGCACTGCAAAGGAGAAGCAACCAGTAAATGAAAATGGGAAGATCTTTCAATGAAATATATTTCGCTATATTGTTAACTTCAAGATTCAGACAATACCTCCGATGAAACTCTTTCAATTTCATTTTGATTTTGTTGCCCGATGAAGATTCTTCATCATACGAAGGAGCAATATAACCATGGTTTCCTTCAAAATTCTTGTGAAAGAAAACAAAAATGTTATAAGAAAAAAGTGGGGGAAATGTACAAATAAATTTATTAAAAGAAAATTTTATATGCATTTCAAAAGTTATTTAGTTTAATTTAGAAATTGACAATTACAAACAATTATACAAGAACGATCGACAACTGAACATGTATTCAAATCATAATAAAAGTAAACAGGTTTACAGGAGTCGTAGGGTCACATTCATCCTAGGATAAGTCAATTAATTATTCCCAGAACACGAGTTAGCATGTTTGAAAATAATGATTTAAAAAAACAAAAGAAAAAGATTTTATTTTAACTGACTAGGTAGTATGTATGCCCATGCTTCCTAACTTCCAGTCGAGTATTTTTTATATAGAACTGGATGAAAGGAGACTCACCACACAAGTGAAAACTGTATATCATTAAACTGGTTTGAAAGCTTATCAAAATTACAACCACGATCTTTCCTCACGCAAGATTATTTATCTAGAACCGCCAGATTAGTTATGTCCACCTAGGATGGTTTAGTGCCAACAAAACACCTTATCCACCGCTACTATACATTATGACCATGTGAAGTGGAGACAATAACTTGACCCAGTATGATGAAATTGAATTGGTTATAATTTATGAACATAATTAGAAGACTGATTGTATATTTCTTCTTTCGGTTTCAAATGTAACCTACATATGTGCAGGTAAACGAATACCCAAAAAAAAAAAAACAAAAATTCATCTGAACAAATTAGCCCCACCTTCCCACATTCTAGCCAACTAAGAGTTTGCTTCATGCTGCATTCAAAAAGCTAAATTGAAGAAGAAAACACTTGCAAAAGAAAGAGAAAGAGCCTCCTCCTTGTGAATCCATTAAGAGTTATTAATATATCAGGATGTTATACATATGAGGGCAAAAAGATAAAATTTAAACTTATAAGGACATATTAGTACAAATGAATTTGGTTTCTAAATTATGTAAAGTTTTACGTCAGCATCAAATGAACAAGGCAATAAATAAAATAACCTCCTAAATAACTAAATACCTTTCAATCACCTATAAACTTGTTAGCATAAGTGATTCACATGCTTCTTATATTTAACGATCTTTAAACCATGACACGCATAATATGCATCAATATCTCTTCAATGATAAGTACATAAAAACACATCCATAATTTTGGAACAAAGCTATCAAACAGAATAACTTTAGCTCAAATTTCAAATGGCCATCGCTCTCATAAACCAGTGATGGGTGTTGCACATTTCAAACTAAAAATAATATATAATAAGCTTCATAAAGAAATTATAATAGATATAAAACGAAGTTATCTGTTGTAAAACTTACATTGATGTTTCCTACTGGACTCAAAGCATTGTCAATGTTATGGCTGTCACCAACAACTTCTAGGGCTTCCAGCATGGTTCCCGTTGAACCACCAATCAGTAATACCTGAAACAAATATGAATTTGAATGATCAGAATATTCACAAGGGGTTTCTTATGATCATCGGTTAAGGCTCCAAAATTTTAAAAGATAAGGAAAACAATTTGGCTGCTTGTTTATACACTATATAACCTCATGAACAGGAATTGGGACAGAAATATTGTTATACTCATCATCTAATAAGGACTGATCAAAATCTAAAGCAATCTTTTAGCTTGCATACTTATGCTCCCACTCCATAAAATTCATGCGGCAAAGAATACTTTTAGTCCCTTAAGCTTATATCAAGTTTCATTTTGGTTCTTCATAGAGTTTATTTTTAATCCTCTAACTATTAAAAGACAGTCAAAAGTTTTTCTTTCTCACATCATTAATTACTTAATGGAAAATGCTTACGTGCAATTTTTCAAGCCAATTCAAGAAGAGAAATCCAGCTCGCTGTTGTCATCATTTATTTATTTATCAATCTCATCCTACTTTTAAAATGTTTATTAAAAAATTAAACTTAATCGACATATAAAAAAATATATTAACTATACATAGATAACTTGTTCTGTATAGATAAGCATCTAAAAAGATTTAAGTTTAAATTTTTATTTATATATAGAGAATTTAGGTTTCAAGATAATGATAATTATTTTTAATATTTTAAAGTAAGATAAAATTAATTAATAAAAAGTAATAGTAAATTTGAGTTTTTTTAACTGGCTTGAAAAATTACACATCAGCATTCTCCACTACACTAATTAATGATATTAAGAAAGAGGAAATTTTTCACTATATTTTAAAAGTTAAAGGATAAAATAAAATTAATATTTTTAAATTATATGAAATATAATTAAAAAAATTATGACATGCAAAAAACTGTTAACTTTAACGGTAATTTTAAAGGTAGGGGAGTTAATGATCAAATATGAAACACAGGGTCCTTGATTTAAACTTCTAAAAGTTAGGGAGGTCGTATGCAACTAACTCAAAGTTCAGGGAACTTTTGTGTATTTTACTAACTCATGTAGTTCCAGCCTAATGAGCATGGCAGGTCAAAAAAAAAAACTAATGAGCATGGAGTTAACAAGCACAGTACATTAGCCAAACACAACCAAGAAAACAAATAGCGCACAATTTAACTAAAAAGCTTGATCATAACATGATTTCTTCTCCCAGTCTCAAAAGATTTTGGATTTAACATTTATGCAGTTCATTTATAATATATTCCCATTCAAGAGTAGGAAACATTTTATATGAATTACATTATGTCTAAATTGGGCAATATTTTACATAATTTCTACAGCATTTTATTTAATTATTTAATATTAAATATTTAATGATTAATAATTGGTTTAACGGAGGACAATAGTGAACATGCCTACCGTTAAAACAACTATAGCTGTAGTTGCAGTGAATATGGTCTGCCCATGTCCTTCTGGAAGATCATGAACTGATTGCAGAGCAAGGGCAAATGCCATTGCCCCTCGAAGTCCTATTTCAGGGTATTGAAATTTAGGTAAATCAGCAAAGAACAAATCAAAAGCAAAAAGCAATCTTTTGAGTCAAAGTTCCCACGTCATTGTCAGCAACAACTGTGTTCCTTTCCTTACCACTATACCAAAGTGCTTTCTGATGTTTTGGAGGTATCTTTCTATTTGCAGGTCTGACTAAATTAACCAAATAAGCACAAGAAAAGACATTTGCTGCCCTGAATTAAGTGACCAAACAATTTAGTTAAAGAATTCCAAGAAAAATAAGTGAAGCATAATAATGATTGAAGGGTATTAAAATGAACCAGAAAATCATTAAACGATAAAAAACTAGCTGAAAATCATAAAATGAACATGTGCCCATCATGATCCAGGGCTTATCTTGATAGCGGTGATAGCAATAGTACCTTGCAACCCCAATAAATATCTGGAGTGGTTCTAGTTAAGGAAGAAAAATAGCAGAAAAAATGCTTAGTTATTATGAGTCCCTACTGTTCAGGTTTATAGGGCAAAATAAAGAAGAAAGGATACAATGGAAAAGAATATAAATCCAACATGCGACCAGCTATGTTGTTCCATAGCAATATCGAACCCCATGTATATGAATCTGCAAATCAGTAAAAACTGAGTTATTCATGCATCATTTAGACTTCATGATTTGATTACAAGAAAGAAGTTGAAGATAAAGTCCTCACATAAATGTTTCTGCCAGTGATGATATTAGATGGAAAAATGCGGAGACAAATCTTTGAGAACTTTCTGACAAATTGGAGTATGTGTAATGCTTCATGACCTAATACGGATTACCCAAATGGTCATGAGATTTCTTTAACCCAGATGAGAAATAACCAAAAAAAAAGAGAATGGAAACAAAATATGCACTTACTATTCCCGTGAACAGTATTGATACAATACCAGACAAGCCAAGACCTTCTGCAAGCATGTACCTACAAGATAGATATGTATAAACCGATACATACTGTGTATGTAGAAAGTAATGTAGTAAACTTCTAAGCAAAACTAATGACAAAATTGTCCAAGAGATTACTTACGAGAAATATGGGAAAAGAACAAAAAGACAGCTCTCCAAGTTCTGAAGACTGGATGGAACCAGAAAAATGTTCTTGTCAGTATTTTTCAGTTATTATGGATATCATCAAAGGTTAAGTAAAAAGAATAAAAATAAACACCATGTACTCACTTGTCAATATCCAATCCTGCATACTTAAAAAGGTAATAACAGTTAAGGTATTCGCAACATCCTGTAAGCTTCCATTGTGCTGTTGTGATGTAATCATAATAATGACAAAGAACAGTCACTAAGAGTTGGCTGAGTTAGTTACATAAGGGACAGAATATAGCTGTTGGGGCCAGTCCCGTTGCCTATATAAATAAAACCCATTTTATGCCTTAGATCATTCTGAATACATGCAGTGAGTTGGTTTCCCTCTCTGTTCCTCTATTCTTCGCTTTGATGCTCTGATCCCTTCCCTCTATTTCCCTTAATTTCTCTCTCATTCTCCTCCTTTCTCTCTGCTCCTCTCTCATTTCTAATCACAATACTACAACAGCTATGCTGTAAGTAATTAGTAGAAGAGTGGATTTAAAAAGGATATCAAAGCAGATGTAAATCCAACCCCAACACCTGCATAACCACCAAAAGCAAGCAACTTAGGAACATTGACAATATAGCAATTTATAAAACAAACATAGAAACACCTTGTGTATGTCATGTATTAATAAGTTGTAAGGGGCTTGGAATCAGTTGTAGCAGTTCATGACTTTAGCTATACACACATAGCACTAGGTGAAGGGTGTTGTGCATGTGAAGTTGGTTAGTTAACAACCAGTTCCATAACATAAAATATGGAAAAGAAACGGCACATTTCTATAGCAAGGCTCTCCACCTCTCTTTCCCATCTACACATACGAGAAAACCAAGAGGCAAAATTTCTTCTTCGTCAAGAATTATATCAAGAAGGAAAAAGCAACCAAGAGTGAGATCACAAGTATGAGACATGCAATCTAGAAGGAACAACATGGAATGTGGCAGTTAGCTCACTTCATTTAAGTCCTCTTCAAGACATATAGAAGCCCAAACCATGCCAGGTATCAATATATATAATAAAATCTATAGCAAGCCACATTACACTAAAATAACGTGCTTCATTCCTCAAACTCCGTGAAATGCATGGAGAAAATGTGACCTGTTTTTAACACTAGATAAAGAAAAATACAAGATACTATCTTTACGACGAACCTGAAGACATCGAACCAACAAAGGTCTCCAAAAATCTCACAACCACCATGAAGAAATTTTGTCCAGAGTGGTTAGTTTTGACAGATGACATAGTCCTGCATGAAAGTTTTTTAGATAGAGTTGAACCTTTATTCATGATTACTATGATTAACAATAAGACAATGTAGAATGTCAAATACCTGTACAAGGAAATTGCTATCTATTCATAGCACATGAGGATGAGAAGGTGGGGGAAGAACAAACAAAAAGGTAAACAAATTAGTCAGTTAGCGAAGTCCATGTCTTGCAGATAATGTGCTATGAAGTAAGAGATAACATAAGGACAATAGCAAAGAATACTTACTGCATCATTCAGGACAGATTCTCCAAACACCAGGGCATATAGGTTGACATCTGTGCCAAGTTCCTGCAAATAAGGCAAACAGATGCACGTATTAAGAACAAAGAGTCAAACACCAACATATAGTTACATACAACATAAAGTTACATTAAGTGTGTTGGATAATTCTCAAAGTACTTTGAATGGAAAAGGCAAAAGAATTCTGTCCAGCTAGTTGGGTAGAAAATAAGTAGGAAAACCCCCAGCTCAGAATGTTCAAAAATTGTCCTATCCATACCTGAACAGCAAAATGGTCTACAAGTATGCCTCTCTTGCATCATTCTCTTTCTCTAATAAAAATTTCATCTTCAATCGAAAGTGAGGCCCCAAAATAAAAAGGTGTAAAGAAAGTGGAGCCCTAAAAAGTTATTTCTATCTCACATTTTTCCAGCTGCATAGTGCCAAGAAAGTTATTTTATAGACAAATTTCATAATTAATTACACATCATTAAATCAAATATCATCTAAGCAAAAGTAGCAGCAACTTAAACAACGAACAAGTAAGCTAGTGAAGAAGAATGCCAATGAATCCCACTTACCAACGCACCATGGCAATTTAGTGCTTATCCATATTGGATTAAAAAAATAATTATTATTATTAATTGAATATTAGAAGTCGGAATACATAACTGCAGTACTGGAGGCAATAAAAATTATATGAGAAAAAAATGAATACGTAACATCACCTGAAATATGGACAGAACAGTAACAGGATCCGTTGCTGATATCAAAGCACCAAACATTAGGCACTCCACAAAAGGAAGTTTATACATGAGGTAGAGTAAACCACCAAGATAACTGCAGCATATAGGAGGAAAATGCTAGCATGAAATCAATAAACTCTAATGAACCAAAAAAGCAAAAATAGCTAAACACAATGGAAAAACATAAAGTAGGGGAAGGTAACTCACACTAAAACACCAGTGACTACTGAAGCAATAAAGGTACCAAATATAGCAAATGTCACAATTGCTCCAAAATTTGAGAAGAAAGGTTTCTGTCCAGACAAAAATCAAAAAATTAGTAAAGCTATTCAGAGAAAAACAAGGTGCAAGCTCAAAAGCAGGTACATGGACGCACTCACAGGTGATAGACTGAAACCGGACTGAGTAAACTCAACAGTCAAGGAAAAGATAGCAATATGGTAGACCCATATAAATAGATAACATCAGTTATATAATAATAAAAAAGGAGACCAATATAACAATCTCCGCTGAGGATATAATATAATGGGAGGCAACAGGAACAGGAAGAAAAATTCCTCATGAAAATTGAACCACGCCCTGTAAAAGAGAACCAAAGTAAAAACTCATAAGTCAGCTCTTGAAACAAACAAGATCCAAACAAAAGTCTCATCATTCAAAATCTTGTAAAAGGATAGTACAACCGATTGGCATTGCAACAACCTGATACTAGTTTCTGTGTCTGAAACGTTAGCAAGTACACCAACAATTAAACCTGCAAAAGCAAGTCAATTTTACAAAAATTGTGGAAAAATAACAATGACCCCTGAGAGAAGAAAAAACAAAAATATCAATTAAACGAACAGCGATCTCCGTAAGAGTACCTATAAGAAGAGAAGCGCTTGCTTCAGGTATAACATATATCCGCTTGCGACGTAGGACGTGGCCAAGAACGAAAGACAAAACCAACATCATGATCTGAAGAAGAATTCCCACTCCGGCAGCTTGCTGCTCCTTTCCCGGAGCCCCATGAGCATCGGCCGGAGAAATATCATTCTCCACGCCCATTCTGGAAACTTCGCTGGAAGCAGTTGCTTCCGCCAACGCCTGTATCGCGCGAATTAAATATGATGATCGTCTTCCAGACCCCACTCCCCAGTTCTTCTCCCTCGCCTTTGGGTCTTTCTCTATTCTCTATTCTCAGGTTTGGACTTTTTGCCTCCGTAATCACGGAACGAGATAAAAAATCAAAAACGATATGTCTGATGAGATCTAATGTAAATTATTAATTATTAACTAGTAACAATTCAAATGACGCTTGTATAATCCAAGAGGCTTTGTCATCAAGGAAAGCTGGCGTTTGACCAACAAATCAAACTACATATTCATTATCATTGGGTTTATGCAATTTGTTAAAATTTTTTAATAAAAAGATTTGAAAATACTAAAATAAAGAGCAGAGGTTTTTTCAATGGTTTGCTACTCTTATACTACCTCCGATCCCTAATATAAGACCTTGTTTGATTTTTATTTTGGTTCTAAATATAAGAACTCAATCTACTTTGTCTCTAATATTTATGCATTCTTTTCCAAGATAGTCTTTTTAACAATAGTAATTCTAGCCAACACTTAATTAGCAAAGATATTTTATGAAAGATAATAGACATTTATTACAAATAACTAAATTAACTTATTTTTTTAATCTTATCAAATTAGTCAATCAGTTCTTATAATTAGGACCGGAAGTAATGACTTAATTTGCAACTCTCTAATCATTAATTTATCAGCAAAATTCGTCTATGAAATTAATGAAAATATAACTTGTTAAGCATACGATGTCGGCCAAAAAAAGAATAAACACAATGATTTCTCGTGGTTTATTTATCATATTCCCTTATTTATATCTTTGTTACTACAAATTTATAAATAAGATTTTCAGGCAAAAAAATTATGAATAAGATTTGTCTATTTATGACGGAAGAGGAATAGTTTTCAAGATTTCTGGTAGCTTGATGCTCATGCTCCTTAGTTTATAACTTTGTAACAATTAATTTGCAAATAAAATTCATTTATTTATAAAAAAATAAAAAAAATTAACTTGTCAAAGTTATTATGATATCTAACGAATCCATACATTTATTCCACATGATTTGTAACTTGGTAATTACTAATTTGCAAGTGAGATTTATTGTTTTGCTACAAGGGTTTACTATATCACTAAGGAACCTTTGGTTCTTATTTTGGATTTCTAAACTATTTTGGTTCTTAAATAAGATTAACTAAATCTTTTTGATCCTCAAATGTTATCCTCGCGTTAATTCTTATTCTAATATATAATGTTTGTTTGAAAACTTTAAGATGCTTTTGTGAAAATATTAACACGTCAATTTTTAACAATCACACGTTAACGAAGTGTTTTTAATGAAAAGATGTGTTTTAAGTGTCAATTTTGACATCAGGACACTAAAATTATTTGAAAAGCTTGTTTTCACTCCTTGTTCCATATTTAGTTATCTTTATTCAAAAAGTTTATTTTTTCTTTATGAAATTCTTAGCACGTTAATTTTAATTCTAATGTGTTACCCTCAGTTTCCAAAGGATCAAAGTTTTGCCTTCATAGCAATTTTAACGCATCACTCTTTTTCTTTTTTTTTTGAGTGAAAAGTACTTTTTATTCAAAAGCAGAAGAAACGTACAAATAGTTACAAGCCGGAAAAAGTAAAACTACACAGAGACATGCTATTAGCCTAAGCTTAACCGCTCATGAAATTCTTTCGCGCGGATGGTGTGGTGGCTTAAGGCAATAGCCTCATTTACAAGTTTAACGGCATCAAAAGTATCTTGGCAAAATAACTGACTAAAGATGCACCAGTTCTTGTCCCGTTTCTTTGGGTTGATGTCATCTTCAAACCATTCTCTGAGTGTCTTCTGGCGGAATTCCACATGGAGATGAGGGGTTATAATCAGGTTCCAGCATGAGGCGGCATTAGTACCCTCCCTAAGAACATGATTTAGGTCCTTAGAACCGTTTTCACAAAGTTCGCACCATTCATCTGAAGCCATGTGTCTCTTGACTCTTTCCGTGTTGGTTAACAGTTTATTGCTTAGTGCCAACCATAAAAAGGCTCAAGTTCGTTGTGCTCCTGGCCATCACCAAGCAAGCTGCCACTCCTTTCTTTCTACGTTCCAGTCCTCCTCCTTGATTAGCTGATAAGCTGTTTGCACTGTGAAAATGCCAAAGGATGAATAACTCTAGTTGCATTGGTCTAGCTGTGAAGGATTCCTTGGGGTTCCATGATCTATAGTTAACTTGATTATCTTTGTAGGTAATCTGTCTCCAATATTCTGCCAGTCCTATGAGCCACTTGGTGAAATCAAGTGATTTATCGGCTTGCTAAGCTCCTCCTCTGGGATGGGTGCGAAGGAGAGGTAGTGTAGCGGTCCAAGCTCCCTAATTCAGTGATCAGTCCAAAATCTGGCTTTTTCCCCATTTCAAATGGTCCATTTGAGACCCATTTCTAGGTCCTCCCATAAGGTGCCAAGGTTTCTCTAGAGGTGTGATCCCTTCTTGGATTTGACGGCTTTTAAATTGCCTTCTTGCCAACCATATTTGGCCCTTGGAATCTGGACCCATAAGAGATCGGGCTGCTTGACTATCTTATAGGCTAGTTTCATAAGGAAGGCAGAATTTTGGGCTACCATATCCTTTATCCCACTGCCTCCTGTTGATTTTGGCTGGCACATGGTCTTCTAGTTAATCAAATGTACACTTCTTTGTTGCTCAATGGATCCCAAACGAAATTCCTCGCAAGTGCTTGAAATTTATTGCAACACATCACTCTCTTTTCATTAACGTGTTTATGAGCTTATTTGAAAAACTTAGTTTTGATTTGTTGAAGTTTTTATTGTGTCAATTTTTCACATAAAAATTATTTTGCCTCTGTATAAATTTAGCACATTAATTTTCATAGTAATGCGTAGAAAAAGTTTTTCTGAAAATATTTTTCACTCCTCAATTTTGATGCATAAATTCTAATTTTAGTGCATTACTTTTATTTTTAAAATTCTGCAATAGTTAGAAACAGCCTTTTTTTTTTTTTTTCTAATGGCTATATTTTTCAATAAGTAAAAACATATCACTCTGGATCCATTTTATAAGACTTTGATGGGTTGAAGAAATGTTATTCTAAACATCTTTTGAGTAGAAATGTGATCTTAATTCCCTTCCAATCACAATTTTCTCCCCCTAGCAAGGGCATTTTCTTTGCTAGGGTTTTTTCTTGTGGGAATTTCTTGCTCTCCTATAATGAGTTTTCCAGCACCTCTCTCTAGCACCCACAAAAATAGAGGATGTTCCAATGTGCATGTGTCTTAGAGATATTTGTTGGCAAGAGTGTGTACCTGAAGCTGAGATTATTTGTGAAAGTTGAATAGGCTTTAGAGTTGTTCCAAATTAGGAAAAAAACCAACAAGATCTATGATTCTAAAGAAGCGATTAAGAATCAATGAAGAGGATTTGGATAACATCCTAATTTTCTCCCTAAGATTTAAATAATATTAGCGAAAATTGTTTACTTGCAAAATAGAATTTACCTTGTATTTATTTAAATAAAGAAAATGCATGCAAATAAAATAAATTCTAAGGATGAAAATATAATATCAAGTTATAATATTAGGAAAAGAATAATATATATTGAAGTTAATGGAGGTTAAGTGAATATATAAGTAAATATCTCATAACATTAAACTAATGGAGGTTGAATTAAACATTTAAAATAATTATGATTGTATTTTTATATATACACACATATAGAAATATGTAAATGAATAAAATAAAATAAAAAACTGAAGAAGTCCAACATCAACTAAATAATGAGGAAGAGGAAATTCTAGGAGTCTATATATAGAAGGTGGCAAGGTAAAATTAAACAATTAAGTAATTTTCACATATAGCTAAGATAGGTTTAGTAAAGTATCATACGTAAATTGAAGAATTGTTGAAACGAGTTGAAACTTGGTTAGGCAGTTCGCGAGATCCAAGTCATAGTTTACCATTAGATCGAGCTAAAATTTAAAGAGTAGACTCATAATGTCTAATGCATTAATGTCAACGGTTAGATTGATATTTGAAAATTAGGAAAATTTCAATTAAAGATCACAGTAGATAATTTATTTCAAACAACCCCCAAAACATTCTACTAAAGAGCAAACTAAAATTAATTTAAGAAAGGAAAAGACATTTTTACCCCTCAAAACTGTGATCTTAAAGCTCTTCCCCCTCTCTCTTAAAACTCTCAGTAACTCAAGCTCTTCTTTCTCTCTCTCTCTCTGAAAAATCTGTTCTTGCATTGAGAGAGATCATTCGCCGTTGTTGTTGTTCTAGTAAGGAGAGCCTTCGCCTTCACTATTATTCTAGTATGGAGTGCCTTCACTGTTAGTGTTGTTTTGGTAACAAGAGCCTTTGTTGTTGCCATAGTCTCTCTCTCTCTCTGTGTACGTGACCTCTTTCACTGCATTTCCATTAAAAAAAATTTTTGCATATAATATTGCAAAATCCTTCTCCATTTCTTCTATTGTGGATTTTATGGATTTGGTTTGGGCTATCGTGAAATTCTAAACAGAGAAATCTTTTAGATTTCTTAGATCTGAAATAAAATTATACAGTGCATTAATTTTAAATTTACACTGTTGAGTATTAAGAGTAAGCTTTGTAGTTCCTATCATGAATTGTATTATGAATTTGCGAATTCTACTTCTCTAATAAAATGGTGATTTGGTATTGTGAAAACTCGTATTTTTGTTGTGAATTCGCAAATTCCTATTGTAAACATATGTTGTGTTTAATTATTGAAAATTGATTGAAATTAATATTTGAATGATGTGTAGCAACGTATTATATATGACTAGCAATAGTAGAAAGCAATTATTTTGCATCTTCCATGAAGGAGGTGAATCTATGATGACCTTAGAAAGCAAAATAATATATGAAATAATGCACTGAAATTGGCTGGTAACTATATAAATGCAAAACAAATTAATCCACTTGTAAATGGATGTATTTATGTTGTTAATGGGCGTATTGATATTGCAAATATCCTAATTCTACTTTCAAACTGTCACTCCCAGAGTTGTGAATTATTTTATTCAACTTTATGAATGAAATAAATTTACTTACAAATGGACAATTTATAT